CAGACTCCCATGAGAAGTAATAATAATAATAATAATAATAATAATAATAATAATAATTTATTATTTATACCCCGCCCATCTGGCTGGGTTTCCCCAGCCACTCTGGGCAGCTTCCAACTGAATATTAAAAACAATACAGCATCAGACATTAAAAACTTCCCTAAACAGGGCCGCCTTCAGTTGACTTTTAAAAGTAAAATAGTTGTTTATTGCCTTGACATCTGCTCGGAGGGCATTCCACAGGGCAGGCACCACTACCAAGAAGGCCCTCTGCCTGGTTCCCTGTAACCTCACTTCTTGCAGTGTGGGAACCACCAGAAGGCCTTCGGCGCTGGACCTCAGTATCTTAGCTGGACGATGGGGGTGGAGACGCTCCTTCAGGTACACTGGGCCTCCTCACAGCAGCCCTATGTGGTGGGTTAGGCTGCACAGGACTGATTGGCCCATGATGATCACCCAGGAAGCTTTAAGGTGGTGAGTGGCTGGGTTTTCCTGGCAGTCAGTTTTGCAGATCTGGGTCTTGGCACTAAAGACCCATAACTGAGTCCTCTGGGCAACTCCTGCACAAAGCGTTTGTCCCCAAGAGAAAGAAAACAATGATCCCATTTCATCATCGGAAACAAAACAATGTGTTGTCTTCCATCACTGTTGCCTCTTACCTTCGGGATTTAAAAAAGTCATTCCTGATGCAAGCAGAAACACTGGATGACAAAACGCTCGCTCTCCTTTGGATCTGCATTCAAGAAAATGGGAGCAAATAGTCTTAGAAAAACATTCTGAGCCATGGTGGATCACATCTGATCAGTCCACACCAGAGGTACTTGGAGTGTTTGTGGATTATGCTGTTAGGCAGAAACTTTTTTTTTATCTAATTACCCCTGTAAGGCTTTGATCTTTTCTCCCAAATAATAAAATAAAATCCCAAAGCAACGCCCCCACTTTTTACCTCTTTTTATTGCCTAATCAAAGACAAGCTTGTAAAACATGCAATGCCCTTGCTTAATGCATTTTGTTAGCAAATCAGGCTGGCACAACAATTTCCCCCTCTCAGCGTCCCTCCCTACCCACTCCCCACCTCTGGGTCTCTCTCTCTCTCTCTCTCTCTCTCTCTCTCTCTCTCTCTCTTGTAGCTCCGTGAGCCATTTGGAAGCATCTTTCGTGTCATTAGTCCAAAAAGGAGAGAGAGAGAGAGGGAAAGAGAGAGAGCTGGCAGCACAGCCCGTTCTCAGAGCTGCTGCTGGCTTTATCCAGCAAAGGTTTGCCGAATGACTCAGAGGTGAATCACAGGTTTCTGCAGGTGTACGCTGGGGAGGGCTGGCCCACTTCCATGTCTCGGTGGTGGCAAATGTTTACTTCATTAGTTCATGGGGTTACCCAGCAGTCCTCGCCAACTCTATTTCTCAACATTAATGGATGCGAAGGAAAACAAAAGGAGACAAGAAAGCCCAGGGCACCGTCATCATACAGGAGAGCACCGCGGCTTTGAAAATGTCATTTGTTAATGAGAGAATGTTGTATTTGCTTGGAGCAATGGAACAGGGCGAGGGCAAAGCTCTCCTGCCTCAGCCGTGTGTCCTCCATCATGCTCCCTTCTGCTCTCCATTGATGGCTCCTAATGTTTGTTTCCCCCATCTTTTCTTTGAGCTCTTGTGCCCTCCCTTGCTCTGCCTGGCTCAGCTGGCTCAAGGAAGATCAGATGTCACGCCGAACACAAGCACAAGCTGCCTCTAGACATGTGCAAGTGTTTGTGTGAAAGGGTGCACACTTATGGACTTGTGCAGCTCAGCTGTTGTGTACACAGGCTCACTGAGCATAGTGACTTTCCCAGATGCTGAATCCCACTCTTGGTAGTTCCACCTCCCTAAGAAGTTCAGGATGGGTGGCCCAAGACAGGGCCTTCTCTGCAGCAGCCCCTAGGTTGTGGAATTTGCTCAGTATAAGAATGGGTCTGGCTTCTTCACTATACAGTTTTCGGTGAATGCTGAAGACACACCTCTTTGTCCTGGCCTTTGTCACCTGATATGTGTGCTCTCAGAGCCCCCACCATTCCTGTGATTGTAATTTGTTTACACTGATTTTAATCTTGAATTTTTAATTGTTGTAACTTGCCATGGGACTTGTGGTTGAAGGGCAGATAATAAATCTGATGATGGTGATAACCCCTCACATATGAAGCTGCCATTCACCGAGTTAGGCCATTGGCTCATCCAGCCCACAAAATCTACAACAGGTACAACAGAGATTGCATATCCTTCAACTGTCAGCTTATTTTTGCACAAGAGCATGGTGCCCATTTTGGGTGATGCAATCTTGTGTCATGATCTTGCCCTGAAAAAAACCCCACTTTTTTCAGGGCCACAATCTTGTGCAGTTCCCCAAAACATGTGTTTTTGGGTGCTCTCCTGAAAAAGTGCTTTTTCAGGGCCACAATCTTCACAGGTCATGTGACTCATATGGGAGTGTGGCCCTGGAAGACGACATCCTGGTTTTTCACCCTGTCGTGCTGGAGTGTATGAGATTTGGAAACCATGACTGGGAACCCAATATTGTTGGCCTCCCACATCCCATCAGCCCAGCCAGCATGTTCACAGATGATGGGGGTTGCAGTCCAACAAGATCTGGAGAGCCACAGGGTCCCCATCTGTGTGATAAGGGCTCATCAGGACCACCAGAATAGAAGAGTCTTGGTCTTTCTACTTAAGGTTCTTTAACTAGCAATGAAGGTGTCCATCCATCAGTTAAGTCCATCCCTGTTTAGGGAAGCTTTTAATATTTGATGAATCATTGTATTTTAATATTCTGCTGGAAGCCGTCCAGAGTGGCTGGGGAAACCCAGCCAGATGGGTGGGGTATAAATCCCCCTTCCTCTTCCTCTTCTTCTTCTTCTTCTTCTTCTTCATCACTGAAGTTTAAGTGTGCAAAAAGTTGCTGGGAGGCCCCTATTCCCCTTAGAAAGCTCAATTTCCCAGAGTTCCTTGGGAAGAGCGAGTCACTATTAAACCACTGTGGGAATTGTAGCTCTGTGAGGGGAATAGGAGGTCTCCTAATGGCTCTCATCACACTTAATAAACTACAGTTCCCATGATTCGTTGGAGAAAAGCCAAGTGCTTTCAATGTATAGTACGGATTGGGCCGTGGTTTCAAAAGTGGTTTGCCATGTGGCGTACAGAGGCTGCTCTTTGGAGAAACACAAGGGCTCAGATCTGGCTCCAGATTTGGGGATGGCCTTGGACAAGATACCCTCAGCCGCCCGCTCTCTCTCTGCCATTGTCGGCAGTTCCTCTGCTCCCATCACGGCTCCCACTTGTTTGCTTACCAGACAAAGCCTGTTTGCAAGCAGGCAGTGGCTGCTGCTCCTCTGCCCTCTTCTGACCGCCATTGTTTGCTTGTTTGCCCTTTGTGGGTGAGAAAGAAGCAGGTGAACAAGGAGGCTGCATTGGTGAAAAGGAGGAGCCCGTCCAGGGGGCTTTTGTCACTGGGCTCTGGGCCCACAACAGGTGTCCAGCCGTCCCTGAACTAGGCCAAACTCCACCCCACCCCACCCCAGACATGAACTTGGTTGTGTGCGTCTTTGGAACCTGTCCACCAGCTATTGTTGTCAACAATTCAATGGGCCTATCAAACAGGCATCTATGTCAAAGACTCAAGTCTCTTTACTTGAAAGGGTGACTGTTTGATCTGTGCTGATAGCATCATTACGAGGCACAGCAAAGTAACCACAACAAATGCTCTTCAAATACACTGCCCTTTTCTGTTCTTTTGGGGGAAATTCAAACTCGAATACATCCTTTTCTTCTCCGAAATGGTGGCCCTGCTCACGTCTGTTTCTTGGGCCAGCTCATACTCCACAATAGATGCAATAGAGGACATATTTCCTGGGCTGTTCACGACTCTACATTTGCACCAGTGGAAGAAGGAACTTCAGCAGGTACTGCCTCTCCTCTCACATTACTGTAGGGCTGTAATGTTGTACCTTCAACTTTCCACCAAAGCCAGTGCAGATAAGATCAAAGACCTTACGCCCAGGCTTTGAGAAGAACCCAAGGGACAAGATGCCCATGACTGTCCAGTGCATCTACTTAGAATGGGGTCCCATCTGCACTATACACTTAAAGCAGTATCATACCACTTTAAAAATTCATGGCTTCCCACAAAGGATCTTGGGAGCTGTAGTTTGTTAAGGGTGCTGAGAGTTGTGAGGAGACCTCCCTCTTCCCCTCAGTGAGGTAAATTCCCAGAGTCCCTTGGGAAGATCTGTAAGCCACTCTGCTGTTTCTGTGTTGTTATCTCTATTTAATGTTATATGTAAATCTCCTGGAGGTGGTTGTTTAGAAGGCAATTAATAAATCAGTGATGATGATGATGGTAACAAATAATAATAGTTGCACTGGTCTCTGCTGTCTTTTTGAATAATATTGTTATGTTTTTCAATCACACATTTATTGAAAGCCAACTTGAGAGGTTTTTCTTAATAACAAAACAAAAAGGTGGGGCAGAAATCCACATACGTCAAAACAGCTCTCCAGCGCTACCACCATAAAATTCCTTCTCATGATTCTCTCACTTTGGAGAGCGTAGATTCTTCCGTAGCTTTGTGGAAATTCACAGACAATACCTCTCCGGTTCCTGTTCTTAATAAAGACCATTTAACAGGTTGTTATTATATACAAGGATATGAGCTGCCATTGCTGCATGCTTTTTAACGGGTTGCAATTAGGTTAATTTTAGCTTTCTCTGAAACATTAGTCAGTCTTTCTCCACTATTTTTAATTCCCAGCCTTTAACCAACCACTGTTTTATCTATCCTTTTGGTCTATCTGCAGATATACAAATATTAGATTCTTTGCGCCGCTGCATAAAATCCAGATTCCAATGATGCTAATATGTATTTAATATTTTGGCATCCTATTTTGTGTCTGATGTGCGGTGCTTCAGCCACCAGTTGCTTTGGCTCCTGTTCTTAATCAAGCCATACCTTCTGCCTTGATCACTTTGGGAAAGAGCTGAAACTCAGTGGTAGAGCACATGTTCTTTATGCAAAATGTCCCAGGTTCAATCCCTGGGAGAGTTCAAGCCTAGAGAGTTTCTGCCAGTCTGCTTTGACAATGCCGAACTACGTGGACCAATGTTCTGGATCAGTAGAAGCCAGCATATGGGGAAGGTGGTATGTGAGAGGAAGAAAGAAAATGTGATATCAAGGAGACTTGCTAACAAAAAATGCAAATACAAGGCAAATTGCATATAAATACAGTGGTGCCCCGCAAGACGAATGCCTCGCAAGACGAAAAACTCGCTAGACGAAAGGGTTTTGCGTTTTTTTAGTCGCTCCGCAAGACGAATTTCCCTATGGGCTTGCTTCGCAAGACGAAACGTCTTGCGAGTTCTTGCGAGTTTGTTTCCTTTTTCTTAAAGCCGCTAAGCCGTTAATAGCCGCTAAGCCGCTAATAGCCGTGCTTCGCAAGACGAAAAAACCATAAGACGAAGAGACTCGCGGAACGGATTAATTTCGTCTTGTGAGGCACCACTGTATACTGATAAGTTAGCATGCTCGTAGTATTTAGTGCTTAAAACAATGTGGTATTGTGGCAAGCTCATTCCGCTGAGTGAGGCGCTGGAAGTTCTGCCCTGACAGCTCCCAAAATTAAGTAAACCTGCTCCAATGGCAGCCTTCACTCTCTCGATCTTGGGGAAGTTCCCACAGCTACAGTAGCCTCTGGTGAAGCAATTGGAGTTACACCTAATGGCAGTGATATCAGATAAAAGCTTATTTTCTAATAATGAGCTTAACAGAAGACTGGTTTCCCCCTCAAGGTGCAGAAATGTTCCGGGCTTATCTGCTGCTTCCATCTCGACAAATAGAAAAGACCGTCTAGGAAATGACTGAACACATCTTTGTTTTCATTCCGTCGAAAACATTTGATATAGCGGGAGTGGAGCAAGAAGGAGGAGAAGGGGGGGGGGAGGAGAGCCCTCTTCTTTTTGAAAAGCATTTCCCTTCCCTAAAGTTGCTTCATCAAGATAAAAAAGAAATTCCCCAAATCCATGCTAAGCAGGTTGTCATTTCTTAATGCACTACCAAGAAGATACCTTAGAGGCACGCCATAACATGATACCGTGGCTGTGGCAAGCTGATGCAGCTTAGGGATAAAGGGAGCTTGTCCATTTCAGTTTCTCTTACTTTCTCATTTTGCCCCAATATTATGTTCACATTCCCACACCAGTTTGCAATTTTCGGAAAGCCTTCATGAAAGCCCATCAGTTTCTTGGTGCAAATTCCCCTTAATATACACATTTTTGCAAGCAAATTAATAGGTTACTTTTGCTAATGTATGCTTTCCGTGGACACTGTTCAGTGATACGTACATTTTATTAACTTTGCAGAACTACATTGCAAAATTTGGAGAAGTGCCACGTTTCTATGGATTCTTTCACTTTGGGTCATGTATTGTTTCAGGAGATACGAATTTGGTAGGTTTAAATGAAAAGCCATTCTGAACTTAACTGCACCCCCCAAAATCCCAAATGCAGCTGATACCAGTGTCACCCAGTCAGCGGTGCATGAAGATCCTACAGCTCAGGGTTGTTTTTCCTTGAAAAATAATAATCATTAGCACATCTGATGTTTATTAAGTCCAATGCTACCCCTGGGAGTCAGTGCATGTGATTATAAACCCATTTCAGCAATGAGCCTCCCGGCTAAATGTGTGCTAAGTCTTAATTCACCTATAAATATCCTGGTTTTACTTTCTGCAGGATGACTGAACTCGAGGTAGGTGTGCTCACCTGGCATTTCACATGGGGAAGGCATGTCAATTTTTCCACTCACAGCGCCCTCCTCCCCACTCCCAATGATTTGGCAGTTCCGCACTAGATCCCCGCCACAGATCTTTGCCAAAACTTGACTCTGCTCCTGTCAGATTAACTGTCTCCATTAAACAAACTGGCATTTCTTCTAAGGATTCTGATTGAAAGGATAATCTTGAACGACACCCGCCTTATAGGGATGAGCTTTCTCGGAGGGCTGTGATTAGGCAATCAGGTCTACAGACATTCGCAGAGCCTTTGGCATGACACTAATCAACCTTTAAACTCAGGAGAGCAGCAGACCACGTGCTGTAGAACCATGGAACAGGATTTTTTGATTTTTTTAAAAAAGGGTCATCCAGCCCAGCCCTAAGACATACCAAAACGATCTGGACAAGTTAGCTGCTATTGTCATCATTATCATCGCCAACAAAATCAGACAATTCCCATCACACAATGAAGGGCTGGGAAAGGGCTGTGCTGGCCTGGCCTGGCCCAGTTTCCACTGATTCCCAATGAGTTATATGGGGTGAAAGAAATGGGCTGTAATTTGGGGGTTGGTTGATGAGGTGATAAAGTTCTGTTCCTGGGTCCACTGGGTATTTGGCACTTCCTGCATCCCTGTTTGTCTCTCTTCCTCAACCCTTTCCTTAGCTATTGCATCAGATGATGCCCAGGTCGAGAGAGGTGGTGTTCTCATCTCCTCAGCTACTCTGGCCACTAGAGATTGGATTGTGAGATGATGCACACAATGGACATGGCAGGCTCTGTCAACTCCACCTTTACCTGTCGTAAGAAACAAGAATTATTATGTAAGCTTATTAATGTTGTAAACTGCTTTGAGCATGATTTAAGTTTAACACGGAAAGGCAACATACAAATAGGTGATGATGACAACAACGATGGTAAATGTTTAGGGTCATCAGGTGTTGGTAGTCTTCATGCCTGCTATTTCATATAAGAGAGCCTGTAAGGTTTTGCTCCTGGAGGTCTGGATGGGACCTTTCCCTCTCTCTTGGTGCAAGCCTTAGGAGTTCAGCCTGTTGCCCTGTGGATCCTCTGAATTTATTATTTGTTCACATACGGCAGTCATAAAGAAACCTGCAGTGAAGATACCTGAGTCTGTTGCCTTGAGAGGAGAGCCAAAGGGTGAACTGCACACTGCAGTATCTCCTTTGGGTTTTGTTTTTTTTACTAGATCCCTGGGATCCACCAATCAGAGCCAGGTAAAAGATAATGGCTCAAGGAGTGAAGCCAGTTACCAACTGCACACTGTGGCCCATGGGCTGGAATTACAGATATAGATATAAATCTATGTCCAAGTTACATTATGGATTAGAACACCCTGATTTAGCAAACTACTGATAGATTCCAATTCTCCTCCTGCTGAAACATAGTTTAGACGGCACCCTAGAGATTTTCCTGGCTGAATCTCATTAAATTCTTATGTGTAAGTGCTTAGCTGGTGTTGGGATGGTGCCTTAACTTTCCTCCAGTCCAAGCGACCTAAGTTTCTTAGGGATATCAGGTCTTGCTGCTCCCTCAAGAGTTTTACTGGCAATTACAACCGATTAAAGTTCATTCATAGAATTCAGTGGGGAGAACATGGATTATTTTCTTATGGAAATTGCTTGTATTTATGGTGTGTGTGTGTGAGTGTTTCAACCATAACACTTGGACTAAGATTCCATAAGGAATGTTGTGTAAATAGATCCCTAATTGGTCCTCTTGCCCACTTTTCAGAATGGGACATTGAAACAGAACACATTTCTTTTCGAAATTGGATTAATTAACATTATCACAAATACAGGGGAACAAAGCTACCAGTACATGGAGCATTAATCATAGCACAAGTAATTAGTGCCAAAAATTAGAAACACACAGCAACACTGAGAAGGAAGAAAATAATTCTAATGTCTGCACATGGTGTTCAGAAACTTGACCCTAGAAATACTCATGCAGTCCATAGTGCTGTGTACCAATAGTTCATAGGTAGATTCAACTAATCTGGATCATTTGGATAAGAATGCAATGAAAGGACAAAAAAGGGGAAACAGCTCAATCCACCCAGGAACATTCCTACAATATTTAATTTGGCCTATGCATTGCTGTCAGTGAGTAATTGATTGTAAGCTATTACGCATTATGCTCCTAAAATGTTGTATGTTGCCAAAGAGCAAATTCACATGATCATGATGGTGCATGGAGAATGGCTATATTTACACATAATGCTGAATCATGGGTTGTTTTAACCATGGTTTGTTCAACAAACCATGAGTTGCCTCACAGATGAGAAAACAAGCCATGGTCAGACCATAGTTGTTGTTTTTTAAAAACCATGATTTGTAAGCCGTCAACAAACCATGACTTCGCGTTGTGGTTTAATGCAATGAAAACCAACCATGGCTAGTATGCTGGGCTGGGTTCAGATGCTAAAAAACAAACAAACAACCCTACACTTTGGCTTAAAAAAACCCATGGTTTAATACTACAGTATGTGTGAAGGAGGTCAGTGAAATATGGAATGTGGCTTACAAATTGTGACTCTTTATCACACACCCGAGCTTCACCCAGATTTGGTGATCTTTCTTCTGTATTTCATGGTTCATTGCACTGCTGCTAGAAACAGGTTACATAATGCAGAGTTGCATGCACAACACCTTGTGTTTTCTGGCGGGGGCTCAGTGTCAAGGTCAGCGGCCATGTGCCTTGCTGGCCCCAGAGATGTTCTCAGTCTCAATACCAGAGCCAGAGGCTCCTGTTAGTTAGCTACACTGCAGTCTTCCAGCCCTGGTGGCTCCTAGGTATCGGTTCTCCCCCAACACCCCTTGCTTTGCACAGCAGCTCTCTGGCAAGACCCACACACTCCTCCACTGCTCAGGCGATGCTCTCCATTCTTCCCTCTATCTTTGTTGCCTCTGCATGTCTCCAATGTCCCTCCTCCCATGCAACTTTCACTTCGAGAGAGCATCTACCCTGGAAAGTTATGGTGACCCCGAGTGCCTGCAGTTTCTCCTCTTATATGGTGCTCAGTTGCTGGGTGGAGACTCACCACTTGGCTTCATTGGTCTCAGGTGCTGACCTGGCTCTTAACTGGCTTCAGGTGGTAAGTCATGTGCTCTCAGTCTTGCACTCCTCCTCCTTGGCAGGCCGTCAAAGAGTCATGTTCCTCCAGTGTCCTAGCCCTCTTCTTGCTGGAGGGCTGTGTGATCTCTTCTTCCTTGTGTTCCTGGTATTCCATACTGTTTTCTTGCTCTCCCATTGGCCA